AATTTTTGTTCAATAAAAATCTTTCAAATGCGACTGTAGATTTTTTCCCCAAAACTTTGTTTTCAAAATAAAGGTACATCTTATATTCCGAAAAATACGGTAAGTGAACAGTAATAATATTGCATTTACACTTGTGCCAAGCACCTATACTACTTTGTTTAGGATAATTTCACCATCTACTGTTAAATAAATTAAAACACCTAAAAAAATATTAATGGGAAAATGTAACATCTTCATTTTAAAATAAACTGCCAATTTCACTTCTAGTCTTAGAATGACACAATACACTAGTGTATCAGGCCTTAGTTTTCTGTAAGAACTAAAAATTTGGAAACCAAACATTCCTACTATCTTTAAATTCTCAAACCTAAGAAAGAATGAAAAGATTAATCTAACACATAATACTTCACAGTTTGATGTGAGATTATACTAAATGCTAAATCACTAAACTAATTATATACTAATGAAGTTAACTTTTACACTATGTTTCATTACCATATAGAATAGGATAAAAATCTACCTGAACATCTCTTAGGATTCCAGGAAGTCCAGTATTTTCCATGTATCCTTGTCCACCAAATGCCTCCAATCCTTCAGAAACCACAGCAACAGCCTGAAATGTTAAATTAGTAACTTTGTGAGATTTTATGCTGTATGTTATAAGATAGTGTTCTTTCATTTTTTGTTAATTATTATTAAGTTTATATTTGATATTCTATCATTTAGTTGAGCTGTCTTTAACTTTCTTTATGAAATACCAATTTAGTTAAAGTTAATACTAATTTTTGCACTGAAACAAAAATGACTGACAGTAGTTGATACTGAGGTTTTTCCCGCAATATGTAAACATTCCATTAGATGTCTGTTAACAGACAATGAATTGTAAACTTGTCATCTGGTAGAAAATAAAGAAAATAGTAAAACAGCCAGATGTTCAAGAGATTAGAGAGCTAGATAATTTTTGAGTTACAAGTTAGATATCTTTATGATAATCTCCAACACTGGGTTTTTCCTTCTGATTGCTTTTCCTAACTTTATTGTCCATTAATACTTAACACTAAAGTATTTAGCTTCATTTCTAATTCCTTTTTGAAAGTTACAATGACCAAACAAACAGCTTATGTTACTTTTAAATGTATTTGCACCAATTTCTAATTAAAAGCCAAGCAATGCTACAAACATTTGCTGTCTACAAGATGAGCACAAACAGTTACTTTTAAGCTTAAAGTATTTCTACCATATACAATACATCAATGAATGCTTTATAAAAAAAAAGCACCCACTCTCTAGCTGCCAGATTCCCACTAGAAATCCTCAACATTTTACCTATTTTATCATCAGTATTTGTTATGAATCAATTGAAACCTAAGACAGAGACTGAACAATCCCATACCAACCAAATATTCTATAAAATATTTTTTCTCTTCAAACATGTTTAAACATTCCTGTATTGACTAAATAAAGATACACTAGCAGATCAAAAGTGATCTCCAAACTAGTTACAAACAGAAGGATTGATTTTATTAAAACCTTTCAGATGAACGTTAACATTTTCCAACATTTAAAATGTATTTCCAATGGATACTTACCTCCCTCACAAATAGCTTTTCTTGACTTGCTCACCACTACCCTCACACCTATTCATATGAGACATCTGCATGCTATCATGCAGCAACCCTCCAACAATAGGAAAGTGACACAACTCCTGTCATCATTAGCTGCTTCTCTTCTGTGCAACTCTTAATCACTTCGAGATTGAACAGTACATACAAAACCTACACCAATCATGGGGAGGTCAGGTGGGAAATGTGAGGGGAGGTAAGTATCTATCAGAAATCCTTTTTGAGTGTAGGTAAATGTTAACTTCCAATATGATATCTTACCTATTCTCAAAAATAGTTAGAATTCCACATTATGTTGGTGGAGGGTCTGGTAAGAAGATGATCTCCCTTTAGAAAGTGCCCAAAGGAAAACAATGGGGTGAGCAAATAAATGCAAGGCAGTAAAACAACGGGAGACTGCACCACTTCTAAGCAAGGTATACTCCTCACCTACATGAAATTGTGTTGAAATAAGGGTGTAAACAATAGAGAAACCTCCCCATTTTAATCATCTGTGCACATCCAACCCGACTATCACCATATCTGCCAGGAATTGACATCCAGGGGATGGTAAGAAGGTGGATAGCAAAGTGGTGGTGCATCTCCAGTTCATTACCAGGCAGCATTGTGAATGTATGGTTCAATCTGTCATAGGAGGAGGTCACCCTGCCACATGTGTAACATTAAGAGATCCCAGGTGTAGAGTGGCTAGGGCACGTTGGACTGTAAGTGAAAGATCAATTTCCACCAACACCAGACAAACTGTGATAGGGATTTCCAGCCCACAACAGGAAGAGGGTCCTCTATATTTCACCTCTGATATAGGAACTGGTAGGGAATGTGAGCCTCTGTACCAAGGATCTGCATCATCATGTGTGCACATCCAGCATAACCATCACCATATCTGCCAGTAATTGACATTTGGGGGATAGTAGGAATGTGGACAGCAAAGTGGTGGTGTCTCTCCAGTCCATCACCATGAAGTATTGGGAATGTATTGTCCAGTACATGGCAGAAGGAGGGTACCTGGCCACACATGTGTGGACTTATAAGGCTGGTCCAGCACCAACCATCACCACATCTCCCAGAAACCAACATCCAGAGGATGGTAGGAAGGAGGGTGCCTCAACCAGAAGGGTGAACTGCATGTTGGCAGAATGCATCATCCAACACCTGATGGCATCTGGAATTTTACATCAGGTCTGTGGTAGAAATAGCATCAATGCCATCTACACTAGCAGAACTTCATCACCCTACTCTCAAATGAGTGGAATTGAGCACACTCAGTGTCTAGGAACTGATAAGTGGCAAGGACTCCTAAGCTCCACTAGAAGAAGGGGGAAACAGTGTTTTGGAAAGTCCAGAGGAGCACTGCACTGGAGACAATGCAATGGTGACTGCAATTCCTTACTTTGAAAAACAGGCTGATCCAGTGACCTACATGACACAGATCATTTGGGATGAGAGTAATCCCTGTCTGCTTTTCTCATATCAGTTCATGAGTGTACAGTCCAGGATGAAGATCTTCATGAAGAAAAATACCATGAGGCATACCTGCAAGCAGTCTTGAGGACCACCCCATCTCAATGGTGGGCATATATGACACACATGCAGGTTGTACAGTGCACATGTAGGAATAAGTATACCTGGTCAGGCAACACTCGCCACTGAGTAGGATCCAACTATGTAACAAAGGCCCCTGCAAAAAAAGTGAAGAAATAAGGTGCACTTACCCCCTCAAAAAGAAACTGTGTTGTGCAAAATGGCAATAGAAGAAAGACAAAACCCTGTAGAATAAGAAATGGGTTATCTGGTGAAGATATAGAGCAGTAAAGGTATGGGGAGTGGTCCACATACCAGCACTAATGATGCCCTCCAACTGACGTTTGAAATGAGCAGCCAGGGACATGGTAAGGTGATTAATGTGATGAGAAGATACACAGAAAAGATGACAATCATCAGGAGAAAGATAAGAATATATCAGGCAAATCAACTGGTAAATCTAATCCATGAGGATACCAAGAAAAAATAATCGAGAGCAAGAACAATGGAAGGAATCAGAGGAGAGCCCTGAAAAGACAGAGGAGGTAATCAGTATCAGAATGATCGTAAAGGTGTGCTATGGAAGGAAGGAATATAGATGTGAAGGTGGAATTACCCTCTCAAGTAACTGAAGTTTTGGGCAGAAAACAACAATCAGGAAAAAGGATCACATAGAAAAAATGAAACAAGGTGTGGTGGACATCAATAGTAAACACATCCAAATGACAATCCCTGCACACCAACATGAGAAGAAAAAGGGTCTATAAGGAGAGGTAATATAAAAAACAGATCGACAAGGGTTCAAAAAGAGGAAGGATAAGGGCATAAAGGATGACACTGAGGTTCCAATTTGGGAGATGCAGGGTGAACAGAACAAAAGGCACTGAAGGCATGGATATAATGTGTAAAAGACAAAATGTGGCAGGCAAAGCCATATGATAGCCAAGAATGGAGGAGACTGAAAGTCACATGTCAAAGAGCCAGGTTAGAAAGGAAGTGATATGGGGAAGGGTCAGATGGGATCAGGAATAACCATGACATATGGACCAACAATGGTACGTGTACCACTTTCTTTGCCATACTGACATGGAGGAAGGATGCACAGAATGGGAAATCAAGGATGCTACATGCTGCAAAAGTCTGGCCTACTGGGCCAGGGACCTGACAAAAGCCATGTATGAAGCCTGAGTGTGGGAATGGACAGATAATACATTCCAGACTGGGGCTGATAAAAGAGGATGGGGGAAAGAGGGAGAGGAATAGGTGACACCAGTAGTCAGTGTAGAAGTAGATACCACAGCTGAGCTTGCCAATATGGAGCCACCAATAGAACCTGACATGGAATGATCTAGATGATGGAAAGTTCCAGAGAATTAGACGAATGGGAGGGTAGGCATACAGGTATAAACCTGTACAATCTTGACTGAGAGCATCCACTGCTACAGACAAAGGATGTGAAACAGGAGACCAAAACCTTGGGACCTGAGAATTTAGATAAGTGACAAAGGCATCTAGCTCTGGAACACCATACTGTGCACACAGCCCGCGTAACAGTGATAACTCCATAGGGAGAATCCTGATGGAACAGGATAAATGATCTGCAACAAGATTCAGGACACCTGGAATGTGAGAAGTCAACAAAAGAAGTTGATGGCTGTGGGCTCAATACAGGAGATCCAACGTTTGAAAACAGGGGTCTCTAGACCAAGTGCTTCCTTACTTGGAGATGTTTGAGACCACTGTTGAGTAGTCAAAACGCACCATCACTGACTGGCCCTGAAGGTCTGGAAGGAAATGAACCAAAGCCTATTGAATGGTAAAGAGCTACAAGAGATTGATATGGAGAGAGGACTCTGAGAAAGTCCATTGCCACAAAACCTCTCGAGTGTCCAGATAAGCACCTCAACTGGTAAGAGAAGCATCTGTATAAAGGTGACATTCTGGTTGAGGCGGAGGAAGGGGAATACCAACAGTAGTTTGTCTCAATCCAACTACCAGGCAAAGAGGACCTGTAAGGAAGGAGAAGAGAGCCATCCGAAAGATCCCTGATGAGTTTCTACCACTCCATCAAAGCCCACTGAAGGCAACACATGTGGGCACGACCAAGAGGGATAAGGATTTTCAGAGAAGCTCATGTCCTTAAAAGAAATAGAACCTCTAGTGCAGTGGGAAAATTAGAGGAGATTAGGTTGAGAATCAGTAGCTACATAACTTGCAAACAAAGGAGAGAAGGTTTGGCCCAACTGATGAGGGAATTGAACAATACCCCACAATGAATGAGGTATTGCATGGAGTAAGGAAAGACTCCCCCACCGACCAACCAACCAATCTGAGCAGAAAACTAGCATTGAAATTTTTGAAAAATTACATGAATATACCTGAATAAAGATATATTTTAAACTAGTTACAGAAAGGTGAAATGCAGTTTTCTAGTTATGAAAGTGATGATGAAATGATGTGATGAATCACA